ACTAGGATCGAATCATAAACATTTTTTAACTGTCTAGGTGGTTGTATATTAATATTCAATTTCCTATTTGGTGCCAAATAAAATGCCAAGAGGTAATTAACCAAATCGTTTGGTAGTAATCCTCTAAAAGGAAGTACTTTATCAAGAAAATCTTCCGAAGACATATAATAAAATCTAATTAAAGGAATATATCTATGAAGAGTTCTTTCCATAATAGTAGTTTCTTCCTTGCTCCATTTGTTGACATCTTTAGGAATAGACGGATTCTGAGCGAAACTCCACTTAATTAAACTTCCCCAAATATTAATTTCCTCTAAACATAAATCATCTCGTTTCAAAAGTAATTCTAATAAAGGTGCTTTTATACTGATAAATTTATCAGAATTAAACAATATCTCGGGTTCTTCACAGATTTTTTCAAGATAAAAATTGCATAGTTTTACAAAAGACTCGTGTTGATAAATCATTTCAAGAGTTCCTATAGGATTTTTTTGTAAATACTCATGATGGTACTTAATTAAATTTTCTTCGATCTTGAGAACTAAGGTTTGAAGATTAAGTGAGTCTACTGCAATTGACAATTTTAATAACTCAGGTCCTTCTAACTTCGTCAATTCAATCTTTCCACAATAGATAAATCTGAAAATGTAAAGGAAATAATATACAATATTATATTAGTCACTTGGTTTTTATTATTGTATTAATTGATTACATATGTTTATTTACCTTAAGATAATTTTAAAATGATGTGGAGAAATATTTGGTATTCTTAAAATAAATTTTCCATCATCCCTTTTCTCAACATTTTCTTTAACTAATTCATTTTGAAAATATTGTGACCTGATACGTAAGATATTAGAATGAGCATGAAGTTCTTTGGTGTTTTCTTCACCAGCATATATTATGACATCGTATCCGTCACAAATTTCCAATAACCTTTCATAATCATTAGCTGCTTCTTGCCAAAATTCTAAAGACATTTTTTTTTTTACGGTTGAAGTTGCAAAACAAAAAAAAATAATTGCGCCGACATTTCTAAACTAGAAAATTTACGACATTTGTACTATCATACAAGTTAAAGATCATCCTTGGGAACAATAGGAACATGGACCATATTTTACAATAATTAAATGGAACTTGGAATCAAGTTTCCTATATCTAAATTTAACATTGAAATTACCTGATACTTACGAGAGAATCTAAGGTTTCGGGCCATCCTAAAATCGAAACCGAAACTATCCGAAAGAGAATTACCGGATGATGCTATTTTCCGATCCGAAAATCCAAATCTAAAGTAGCATTAATAATTAATTAATATACTGTATTTGACATTCGATAAAAAAAAAAATTGTAATTATTTTTGTAATTACTTATTCTACTTAATACTTATTTCTATCGTTAATCATTACTATAGCGACTATTTCATCTCATTTTTCATTATTTTATGGTGATACTTTGTAAAAAAATAATCGTTACATTTTTAAAGTGGCGTAGAAGCGGCTACTTTGATTTGAACGAAATATTTTATTAACTAATGAATTATAATTTATTTATTTACAAAGAATATGATTATAATTATTTACACAAATTAGGAATTTTAATCTGATATTATTTCTTAGTACAAGGAAATTTGATTATTAGTAGATAAAATGCTTTTATCCAATCCATTATCTTTATAAGATATCCATTTATTGTTCTATATGGTTCTGAACAGACTAAACCATATTATAATCAGAATTACCTTCTTGTAATTTCTCATAACTGTTAAAACAGTCAAATTAAACGGACGGCCATTTTGACCGACCATACAACATTATTTGTTTTATCACCTATACGATGTGATGTATTTGGATTCCCTAAATTTTTTCTTTTATTTCATGATTTAAAATTCTAATAAATTATTTGGGAACCAATTTCTAATTTCGAGTGGTAATAAAGCTGGAATTGAAGTCCATGTCTCGTTTGATCATATTTAAAAAATAAATAATATATTTATACTCATGCTTCAGTTCCTTTCAATAAATAAGTATGCTTACAAGAATATGGTTTTGACATGCTTATTAGCGCAATATTATTATGAAACGTGTTAATATTAAAAAAAAATCAAAAATACTTTTTTTAAAATTATTCTAGGATGACATAATTTCGATAATCAAATTTATGTATTTTTATAATAACTATATTATTCATTATATTAGTTTTTCTTTGAGTTAAAGAATAACTCAAGATAGGGTTACCAAGAGTTCACTAATCTTCAATAAATAAATATCAATAAAGACGATCTGACCATTAAGCATGTTGGGTTTTGGGTGTCGGATTTTTACAATAACTTATTCAGATATTGTGATTAAATTTGCTTCACGGTAATGTCAGTCTTATTAATAAATAAAAATTTATTAATCATTAGACAATACAGTACTTAAATTTGACGGCCCAACGTTTAAAATATAACATGATTTTTGCTACCAAATTTTCTGCGGCAGACCATAAATTTTGAATTTAATATACATACAGTGTTAAATATTATTTTGTTAATTTCTACTATTTTAAACAGAAATGTCTTCGACATAATTTCAACATTTTGGAAACATTGGGGGAGCATGGAAATTTTTACTAATGTTACCAGTATATAAGATCTCAATTAAGACTTGAATTCAAATGTACATGTTTGATCTGTTTGATCAATCACAATTTACGCGGCTGCAATTATTATAAGTACAAAATATATTGGAAGAAACAGGAATTTTGATCAATTTGTGATGGTGCGCGTCCAGCATTAATGAAATAATGCAATTAAGCGGAAGTCGCATCATAGCACGAATGTTGACTTAAATACTTGTATATTTATAAACACAAATAAATAATTTTTTAAACACCAAAATAATTATTTTATATCAAGATGTGAATTAAAATTAACATCGTGAATTTTAAAAGATATGCGATATATTTTCTTTTGTTTTACGATTTGATTAGAATAATTAACAGTATTAACTTTCATATCATTTTTCTTTATACTAAGAAAAGAAAGGTTAGTTCAATGTAAGGAGATGGATGCATTTGAAGGGCGGGAATTTTAAGCGAGAGAAAATGATTTTCGTCCATAGGACTGCTGTATATCCCGCTTTTAAAAAATATTATTATTATCCGAAACCTTTTATAAAGTGAGAATGATACAAAAGAGGATCTTGAAATGTTGTGATAATACATGAAATAAAATATTTTAAATTGTCATAATATATTGATGACGAGATTTAATTTTTATTGAGGTCTTTCGACGAACCAATTAAATCCAGGCTAGCTAAAAAAAAAATTTCCTATTTTCGCAAACGCAAAAAAAAAAATAATTCGTTAAATCTAATCAAAATATGTTTGGACAATATGTGGCAACTCAAAAGTAAACAACGAATATAATTTTCATAAAGTTTTAGTCATCATATTTTGAATCAATTTTTTAATCATTCGATGTGACACAAAGTAGAGCACTATTATGCAGCTCTTTTGTTAATGTATAAAGAGTTAATTTGAAAACGACAATCAAGATTGTAATTGGTGAAGTTGTTGACCATTCATGTATAAATTTTATTTAAACATCAAATGGTAAATATTACAAGTAAAAAAAAATAGCTAAAAAGGTGGATAATGTGCCAAAACTGCTTGAAGAGGTGAAAGCAGGGTTTCGCAATAAAATAAGCATGAATAAAATATATATATTCGATAAATACATCTGACACCATCATCAGCCATTTCGTGTGATGAATGGTTAACCTCAAGCTTTATCAAATATTAAGTTTCATTTATTACACATTTTTAATTAGTTCAAGATTTCGTATCTTGGAATTTCTGATTCTTAATAAAGTTGTAAATCCATTTCTTTATTTTTTTTTTTTTTACACAGATCACGTCAATTAAGCGCATGGTAAAAAAAATAAATTTGGTAAAAATGCAGGTGTTTTTGAGTTCATTCTTATATTGTTATATTCAAACTATCTCAAAAGCGAAAAATAAAAGTGTGATTCAATGTCAAATAGGTAAACCTCATCTCATTAGATAAAAAATTCTTTTTAAATCCATATAGATTATGTACTCTCATTTGGCATGTCGAATTAATATACAATTATGACAAGCAAAAAATAAAATCACTTTTTACTCGTGAATAAATGTTCTCCAAAAAAGCAAAAATTATTGACCAATTTTGGTTTTGAATTTAATATTGATGCAGAAATTTGTTTGTATTTACGGAAATCGCTGTTGATTTTTATTTATCTAATATTTATCTAATAAAATAGAATTCATTCAATCATTCAAAAAAATTTCTGGAAGACTATGACAAAAGGATAATTTACCAATTACTAAGTTTTTCATTCAATTACTTTAATTTCTTTCGTGCTGAATAAAAAATGCTCGATCACGTGAAGTGAGCAGTAAACCAATCATATCCATGCAAAGTATATTTTACGAAACGCGTTAAACCGATGGATAAAAACGGATAACGTGGATGTGTGATTATTTGGAAATGTCTATTGTTTCATTAAAAGGTTTTGACGCCAAAGCTAAAATTGTCATTTTCCTTTTGGATTGCAAAACGTCGAAAAAAAAATCGGGAAAAAAAAATATATTTTTGATCAACATAAATAACAAATAAATAAATAAATCAATAACGACAACACAAATCAAGGAGTTCAATAACGGAATTACCTTCATAAATTTTTTTTTTTATATTTGTCATTTCACTCATGAAATTAATAATACCCCCATATTGACAGGTTTGTTATTTAATGGTAGAGTTTCACACGTGAATAATAACGAGGATTTTAATTATAAAAAGAGTCCAAAATTTTTAACAATTAAAATTTTTAAAAAAAAAAAAATCACAGAACTCTTAAAAATTTTTATTAATAAAAACGATTATTTCAAATTAACAATTGTTACAATTGTTCAAGAAACTTTCTTTTCTTCTTAAAGTAAACAAATTCATATCCTTTTGTCTTCGAGATTAAAAAATGGATGAAGCGACAAAGAAAAAATATTGTCACCTATTAATGTTCGATATTGCTGAACAAAGTCAAGAAAAAGGTCTAAATCACAATGGATCTGATCAAAATGACAATGTAAACCCTTGTTTAAATAACTCCTCACAAGAAACGGCTACAACCATTTCCCCAACATCACCAACACTTTCAAACAAATCCTTAAAGCAACGAAAACCTCGTGCAAGGAAACCTAAAAGAACACCTCGACCACCAAATGCATTTATCTTATATCGGAAAGCCAAGCAACCCGACGTCATCGCTCAGAGTAATAATTTAACGAATGCTGAAGTATCAAAGGTTATTTCCAAGATGTGGTGGAACGAAACCGAAGAAGAAAGATTTTATTGGGAAAAACAAGCCGACAGAATGAAATTAAAGCATATGCAAGATTATCCTGATTACGTTTATCAACCAAAGAAACCTGGTACCAAAAAGCGAAAATCAGCCCAAAGTGATAAATCCACATTTTCCGTTATACCGTTATCGGAAAAGATATCGTCCAAATTACCCGATGAAACCATCACCGCCATTGCCGAAGTCGTCGGAAGTAAATCCAACCGGTCAATTTCCTCGACATCTGATACCAATTCACTACCATCCCCTCCACCATCCATCGATAGGCCACCAACAAATCAGCCAATCTTGCATAATCATCACATGACATTTCATCATAACATTCCAAATTACGCTGTACTTCCACCAACTCCAGCGACTGATTTATATGATATTTCGGCACAATATTTGTTGCCTCCGCCGGATTACATTTCGCATGCACATTTAACTATGCAACATTGCTTTAATCCGATTTATGCGACCTCTTATGCAGACTTGTCAGGAAACACTTTTCTTGATGCTCAACCCGTTGATAAATTTTCTCATTTCATCGGACAAGATGCATACTCTGCGTCGCCTTCTCACTCTTATCCTTTCAACAGTTTTGATGTTACATCGGTTGACAATTACGCCAATTCCAATACTACAGAATTCTTCGCAACAACTTTATCGTCTGCTCCTACAATGAGCGAAGATATGACAACTTATTTCGACGAGTCACACCGAGCCTCCTGTCCTGCTCAGTATTTCAAATAAGGCGTTGTGCTTCATTTGGCGAATTTTCAAATTTTTTCCTACTATAAGATAATCAATCTCTTCAATATGACAATTTTCCTTTGAAAAAAGAAAAATGGTTGGAAAAATTTGCTTGTTTTCTAAAAAGCAAAATAATTAATATAAAAAAAATTTATTTTCATTAAGATACTAAGCTAATATTTCATTTATTAAGTTTAGTACAATTACTATTACGTTCTTTATAACAAGGAAATTTCTCGACAAGGATGAAAATTCCCCATATTACAAATCAATTCCCTACCCTATTTTCTTTAAAATTAAGCAAAAAAAAAAAAAAAAACACTTTTAAAAAGGGAGGGCCGATTTTTTTTCTTTCTTTGAAAATGAAATTTTTAATAGTTTTTTTTCTTTTGGATTTAAAAATAAACATTATCCAGCGCAATTATGGAACTGCGCTTAATTTTTTTTTTTTCACTTCTTTCATTACTTTAATAATTCCTATCTTTTTCTTTTTTTTTTATAATTATATATATATATTTTTTTTTTTAACGGTTTGTATTTCCGAAAAAAAAATTTAAATAAAGTACGAATTTTGATTGGTTGATTTTTTTTAAAAAAAAAACAAAAAAAAAATCTCGTTTAAAATTATCTTCTGACAAAACATTCAACCTCATCAACTTGAAAACTATTTGGTATATCATCAATTTTTGGATATGAATGTGGATGACTTTCCCAAGTCATAACACCATCAGCAGCATTTAACTTACAGTGTAAATCTACACCGGCGCCAAATGCCACGTCTGGAGTGATAATGTTTATAGCATTTCCATGACTGTCGGCATTAACGTGACTTACTTTTGCAGATTGTAAATATTTTCTATTTTTAAATGAGAATATGAAACTATCGCTTGTGTCCTTAAATCCTTGATTATTGTCCCATACATCTGGATTATACCCGCCTACGATTTTCGTGGAATCCTTAATCTTTGCCACAATGATGGTCATCGAATTACCATCGCATTTGTCATGAAATGCATCAGCAGACATCCCATCCCTACTAGCACGGTAAAGCAGCTCAAAACGATACGGGTTATTCCTTGAATTGTAATGAAAGCTTTCTTTCTTTTCGATCCAACTTGCAAACATATCAAAATGTCGAGTAATCATCAAAACTGTATCAGGCTGTGACAATCTAGAATATCGAGGAAATACATCAATTTCCATTACCCTATCCGGTACCATATGAAATTCCCAAATTTTATGAAATAAATTCTTTGGTAATAACTTTTTATAAGGCAAGACTTTATAATAAAAATCGTTCGAGGATATATGATGAAATCTAATAAAATTGATAAATCTACTAAGGAGTAATTTTATACGATTAATATCCTCTTTGTTCCATGACTTGACATCATGGGAGACGTTAGGATGTTGCGCCAAGCACCACTTTATCAAATTTTCCCAAATAACGATTTCATCCAAATAGAAATCATCTCTCTTAAACAGCACTTCCATGATATTTGCACTTAAATGGGTATAACGATCCGATTCAATTAACCTTTCGGGTTCTTCACATATCTTTCCAAGACAGAAGTCCCATAAATCGCTAAATAGTTCACTCTGGTAGGTTTCTTCAAGTATTCCAATAGGAGTTTGATTCAAAAATTCTTGCTTATTTTGAATCAAATATTCTTGGAGGCAAGTAATCAAAGTTTGAATATTAAGCTCGTCTACTGCGATCAATAGTTTCAATATATCTAGCCCTTCTAAATCCGTTAAATCAATATTACCGCTATAGATGAATCTAATCAGAAACAAATAAATTGGATTCGTTAATTACACGTAGAATTCGTATCGCGCGCGATACAAGATTGACGAAAATTTTCACATTACTTGAGAATCATTGTAAACAAAAATGGAGAAATGTTGGGCTTTCGAATGATATAATTTCCTTCATCGTCGATATCAGCCCAATCGTTAGAGAGTGCCGTATTAAAGTAAACCGATCTAGCACATAAAATATTTGAATGTGCGCGTAATGCTTTTATTTCTTCGCTTCCACCGGCATAGATAATTACGTTGATATCTTTTCCAGATTCCAACAATTTCTCATAATCGCTTACGGTTTCCTGCCAAAATTGAAAAGACATCTTTATTTTATTATTACTTTTACAAGGTATAAATAAACGCAGTGTTCGATGTGGGATTTTAAATATAATATTTTAGCCAAAAATGAAACTCTCCCATATTTGGACGAAGCTGTCAATATAACAGAATAAAACGTAATCTTAGATTTGGACATGAAACTTTCGTAATGTTTACGTAAACCTTTAAACAAAAATGGAATAAATTAATTGATCGACGACTAACCTTATCTATTCAGGACTTAGTAATTAGCGTTAAAGATAATTCCGTCGCGACTTGATTTATACAAGCATAGCAAAATTTTTTTCTTTAAAAAAAAATTTTTACATTTTAATATCAAACTATGGTAAAGTCGTTCATTTACTGAAACTTGTAAACAAACAAACCCATAAAAAAATTTGCCTGAATATTTCCGTGTCTTCTGTAATGAAAGCGAGCCTTTCACTTGAATCTTTATTTAAAAATCCATTTTGTAAACTAAATTTCCAATAAACTTCCTTTTCTAGTTTTCACATATCAAGTGAAAAAAGTTGTGTTTGATATAATCATACATATAAAAATAAATTTTACTTAAATATACAAAAATAATGATATGATATACTATATAAGAAAAGTAAATTTCGATAAAATAATCTACATCAAATAAGTATGTATTTATCCATTAGTAACTTGAAATACCTCATAATCATCTACTTGAAACTGACCATTTGGAATATCAATTTGAGAATAAGTATATGGGTTATTAGAACACCAAGTGTTAATATCATTCCAACGTATATCATGACCACCACCAAATCTTGGACCACAATTTTGACCACAATAAATAGCACTAGCTTGGTTATTATTAATAATATAACCTACTTTTGCAGTTTGAAGGTTAGTTCTATTTACGAATGAGAATATAAAACTATCATTAGTTGACCTATAACTATTATTTCCTTCCCAACCAATTGGGGTATATCCTCCAATTATTTGTTCTGAATTATTAAGTTTTACTATAACTATAGTAGCCCCTTTGTTATCACACTTTTGATGAAATGCGGCAGGTGTATCGCCATCCCTACTGGCACGATAAAGTAAGTCGAATTTATAAGGATTATAAGGAATCCTTTTTTTTTCGTAATGTAAACCTTCTTTCTTATCAATCCAACTAGAAAATATAGCAAAATGCTGAGATTTAACAAGGACTGAATCATAAACACATGCTGAATGTCTGGGCGGATATATGTCAAGATTGGATTTTCTATTTGGCGCCAAATAAAATGTAAAGATATTATTAGCTAAATCTTTAGGTAGTAATTCTTTTAAAGGATATACTTTATCAAGAAAATCTTCGGAAGAAATATAATGAAGTCTAACTAAAGGAATGAATTTATGAAGAGTTCTTTCCATCATTGTCATATCTTCTTTACTCCACTTGGTGATATCTTGCGAAATAGAAGGATGTTGTGCAAGTCCCCATTTTACTAAACTATTCCAAATAACAATTTCATCTAAACATAAATCATCCCGCTTTAAAATTAATTCCAATATATGCGCTTTTAACCCGATAAATTCATCAGAGTCAAATAATACTTCGGGTTCCTTGCAGATTTTTTCAAGGCAGTAATTCCAAAGATCTGTAAATAATTCATGTTGATAAACAGTTTCAAGGATTCCCAAAGCATTTTGTTGTAGAAAATCATCTCGATACTTAATTAAGTATTCTTGAATACAATTGATTAAATACTGAATATTAAGTTCGTCCACTGCAATTAAGAGTATCAATATATCATGACCTTGTAGTTCTGACAGATCAATCCTTCCACAATAAAGATATCTATATATCAAAAATAAAAAAAAAATAAAAAATAATAAATAAAAATCCAATAAAAAGTTAAATATGTTACTGTGAAATTTAAACTTAAAATTTCATATTACCTTAGAATCTTTTTAAATAATAAAGGAGAAACATTGGGTTTCTTGAAGATAAATCTTCCATCCTTTTTCTCTGCCCACTCGTTAGAAAATGCCGAACAAAAATATTGCGATCTAGCACATAAAACGAGTGAATGTGCATGAAATTCTTTTACATTGTCATTTTCACCTGCATAGATAATAACATCATATCCTGTTTCTACCTCCAGCAATTTTTCAAAATCATTAATAACTTCTTGTAAACATTCAAAAGACATTTTTTTTCTTTTTTTCAAGTTAAAAGAAAAAAAAATACAAATACATTTTATTAAGGATTTTATATACTAATTCGGAAATAAATAATTTTTGTACTACTATCATGTGAATTCTACTTGTTTTGCACTTTTACATTAAAACTCCTAATCGCCGATCATTCTTCGCTTTAAAAATTCATCTTTTACATAAACAAATCAACATTTCCTTATAATCGATTTCTTAATGCTTTTATCCAATAATTTTTATTAAGTATGGTTGTTAAAAGCAGATATACTATTTATTAAAAAAAAATAAAAAATACATTCATAATGATTTTTGTGATTACAAAAAGTTTCGCTAGATCTACCCAATTTATAATGCCGGCCTGAGTTAAATTTAACCTGTTACTTTTACTAAAATACAGATTATTTATCTCGTTTTGACTTTTTATTTATAAAGTTAATAAATTCAAATTTAAATATTTTTATAATGTAATTTAAAATGCTTTTTAGAAAATTAAAAAAATTTTTTAGTAACTTTATATTAAATTAGATAAAGTTTTAATTTTAAAATATTTATTTATAGAAGCTAAAATTAATATTTCTTTTCATCTTTACATCTTTATGCATATATTTTAAAGAGAAGGAAAAATGGGCAATACAGGATATTATTAAAGTAAAAAGTTATAAAATATATTATAATAATTTTATAAGAAGCTATAAATAACTCATTACAATATATTTGTGATAAATAATATATTAGGAATTATCATGTTTATATTATAAGGATTCTAAATACCTCACATATAAGCCATAAAGTAATTTAATTTAAAATTAATTCAATTTGTTAAAATTCATATTTTTATTATTTATAATTATTTTTAAATAATTACTGATTTATTATAGATGATATTATTTTTATTTTGTAAAGTTCATTTAGCTATAAAATAAAAAAATCAATTAAAATAGTAAGATAATCATAAAAAACTGATTTTTTACTCTTTAAAAAAAGATCAAATTAAGTTAATACTGAATTTTTTTAAATTATATAAAAAAACTAAATATCAATTATACTCATATTATGTTATTGTCATTAATTTGTAATAAACCTAATAATAATTTTAATCAAAATAATTCTAAAAAAAAGCTTTTTGAATGGAAGAATTTTAAAATTTAAATAAAATTTTAAATTAGTTTAATAAATAATTATAAATTGATTTTTTTCTGTTCTTTAAATGCCAATTTTTTTATATAACAATTTTTTCATCAAATTTATTTATTTTTTTTTATTTTTAATTAGGTATAACTCAAACATTTCATATTTTATATAATAATAATTTAATATACATTCAGAATTATCATTTTTACAAAATAAATAAAATAATCTATTAATCAAATACATTTGTAATTCCTTTTACTTATCAGAAATTTTCTTTAATTGATATTTTAATTAAACCTATTTTAATTGAAATTTATATTTTAATTAAATTTAATACTAATAATATATCTAGTTTAAATAAGCCTATTTTAAATAATAAACTAAAAAACAAAATTAAAACAATTTTTTAAAAAATAATATTGATAATATTGATCAAAAATTAAAAAAAATTTAAATAAAAAAGATAATGAAATATAAATCAAAAATTACAAATAGTAATATATTGTAAATATTATATAAAATTTAATTCTTCATAATCATAATTTAATAATTTATCAGAATTTATTATTAGGAATTTTATTAGCAACTAATAAAACTTAATTACTACTACTAAGGTTGCTTATATTATTGTTATCAAAATCCTACAATTACTATCAATAAAAAATTTTAATAAAAATTTAATATAATTGTATTAGAATTTCTTATTTTCAATATTAATTATAATTTTAGCACTTTAACATTTTGGTAAACTCTTGTTATGATAGTCTATACTAGTTGAAATTATTTCTTTTAATACTAATATTTTTCGGTAAACAATTAGCTGATTCAGTCATATAAATTGATAAAAATTTAGTTTGAACTATAAAAATCAATAGTTATTTATTATATCACACATAATTTAGCATTATTTTAACATTAGACCTTTCGATAAATATTTGGCTGATTCAGTCATGTGATTCAGAAAAATTCAGCTTAAATTATAAAAATTAATAGTAATTTGTTACATCACACATAATTTAGCATTATTTCAGCATTAAGATCTTTTAGCTATTCCTTAAATAGTAATGATTTTATTCAAATTTAATCATGATTTTCAATCAATTATCATACAAAATTTTACATAAAAACTTACAATTTTTTTTAATTTTTAGTTAAAATATGTTATAAAATTTATTGTAAATCTATTATTTTTAAATAAAATTTCATTTTTAATAATTAAAATATTAAATATATACAAAATTTTCAATAAATAAATAATATTTAAATATTAATTTATGTAATTTTTTTTTTGGATTTACTTAAAAACATCACAAATTTTATTATTAGTTTAATAATTAATTTTTAATATATTTAAAATTAACTTTAAAGTATAAGTAAAATTCCTTCTAAATTTGAAAGAAAAACCATTGAAGAGATAATATTTAACAAAATTTCAGTTAGACTTAAGATTTGACAACAAATCAATTGTATCTTACTGGTCAAAATCTGTTGAACTGATATTTACAAAAATTATAAAAATATTTCTCAAAGAGATAATAGAAATCATCTTTAAAGAAATGAACAATTATCTCAAAAGGAATAATATAATCATATCTAAAGGAATGAATAATCATCTCAAAAGGAACAATACAATTAATATAATTATCTTAAAGAAATGATATATTTATCTATAAAGAGACAATAGAAATTATCCTAAAGAAACAAATAATCAGTTTCAAATAGATAATAGAAATCATTTCTAAAGAAATGATATATCATTATTCTGAAGAATGATTTTTAATATTGTTTTTTTTGAAATGATTAATTATCATTCTTTCAAAATGATTTTATAATCATTTTAAAAATAATAATTTTTTTATCATTCTTTTAAAATAATACATCATTATTCTGAAAAAATGATTTATCATTATTTCAAAAAAAAAATTTTAGTTGTTTTTTCAGAATAATACATCATCATTTCAAAAGAATAATTATTTATTTATTGTTCTTTTCAAATGATTAAATTATCATTTTGAAAGAAATATTTTAATATTATTCTTAAAAAATAATATATCATTGTTTTAAAAGAATAATATTTTTTA